CACCCTTTTGTTTATCCAAAATAGCTTTCTCAAGGTTATTGGGAAATTTCTAAATGGGGAAGGGGGTCCAATCACTTCCAGGTTTCCAGGAGAGGGTGCAGTGCAAAGATTATCCTTAAACAGGTTACAGACTGAGTAAGAGCTGTGAAGTTTCACTGAGCTGTTTCAGGTGCAATCATCCTCCAGACCTGACTGCATCCCAGTTTCAGCCTGTTTTGAAAGCTGCTTCTCATAAAGGCCTCACTTAAATTCCCAGCTAAAATAAACCGGGGCATTGTTGCATTGAATAGGCTCAGGGAAACCTGCCATGTCCTGAAACTCTTGTAAGAGTGGGTGGCTGGAGACACTTGAGATGCTGTAGCAAATGGGGTAAGGCTTGTGAGAGTGTGACTTGGAGTTGGCTTGGCTGGGGTTAGCGTTTTGAAGAGGAGAGTCATGCAAGCTGCAGTGGTTTTTCTGCATAGCTAAATGTCACCTTGCTTACCTCTGGAGTGTCAGAGTGCTTGACAAGTTGTAGGGAAGAGTTAAAACATGATTGTGCATTTGCTAATTTTCTTTTACTGCCTTTTCTGTAACATCAGTAAGCCACTTGAGTTGGTGCTTTTAAGACAGTCATCTCAACAAAGCACACTCTTTAAACAGTTTGCAGGGTGGAGACATGGGAAAATGAAATAGTCTATTCATCATTTACAAGTGCTCAGGGTAGCAGATGGGCACCCAGCCCCTTGACGCCACCTCAGACCACCAGGTTTCCCTGTGTAGGTCACCCCTGAATAATCTGCTTCTCCTTTCGGGATCTTTATGCAACGTTGTGTCTCCTCAGGGTACCTGGTGTATTTTACAAGACCCATGACCATGCACCGTGCAGTGTCCCCGACGGAGCCCACACCCAGGTGAGTGCCCTGGGTGGCATTTGAGGTGTGCCACTGTCCCAGGCAGAGGATGATCAGACCTTACACTAGAGCTACTGATGCTCAGAAAGTACTGACCTCTAGTGTTAGCTGTGCACAGAGAGCCTGGTCCTGTACACCCCTGGTCCGCAGCAGGGTAATTTGGTGGGGGGAAAGCTCCTGAAAGCGTATTTTTTTGTTTCCAGGTCCCTGTCAGCTTTGTCAGCATACCACAGTGGCCTCATTACTCCCATGAAGATCCGCACGGAGACTCCAGGCAACCTGCGCCTGTACAGCGGGAGTCCGACGCGCAGCGAGAAGGAGCAGGTCTCCATTAGCTCCTTCTACTACAAAGAGAGGGTAAGTACCAGAACAAAAAGCCTTTCCTCACACCTGAGCTTCTGTGATCTCTATTCACTTCATATAGCTGTGAGCATTGGTGGTAACAGGAGGTTCTCCAGGAGGCGTCATTTTACAGGCAGCTCTGTTAAAAACATCACGGGGATTTATCTCCTCTCAAGTAACTTCTTTACTGTTCCTCTCTAGTGTTTGACCTGCTTATTTTGATATCTCTACACTGACCATCACAGCTTCCTTCTGTGCATCACACTGCCTCCCTTTGCATTACGTAGAGTTAAAAATCTCATGCCTAAGAAGTTGTTGTCTCCACATACAGAAATTTAGGAAGATCTGCTTTTCTCTGCACAACTTGATGTATATGACTGCAAAGGGTTGTGGCTCTCTGAAGCTTACTGGCAGCCTCTCCTGGATTATGGGGTATATTTGGGTTGTTTCTATTGCAGATGTCTCATTTCAGGGCTGTGTCCCCCTTTGGACTGCTTAAAAACCAAGAAATCATTCCTACACGATTCTCTAAAGAGCTTCTAATGCACATATTTCTGGTTTAGGTGTAGGTCTTGCTGTACATTGCTGTTTACAAGCGAGGTTTTCAAATTGTTTCCTTCCAGGATACAGTGTGTGAGGAAAGAGCTGTTGGTAGGTGTAGGGTGGCCACAGAGTATTTCTGAAGTAGCTGAGGGACCCTGCATGTCTGGAGCAGATGCTGTGAGAGTAATGGGCTGTGCAGCTTGCTCAGAACCAAACTCTGAGCTTCAGCAAGGGGTGAACTGGCTTGCACAAATGTACAGTAAGCTTCCACTGATAGCCTCAGAATTCAAGGCATTTGAGTAATTTGCCCACTGTGTTGAGGGCACGTCAGTGGGGAGCTCCCAGATACCCCAACGAAAGCCAAGAGTTGTCTGCCCTCTGCTGCAGTTGAGCTTGGGAGCTCGTATCCTAGGAGCAGAAGGCAAGTCAGAGCCTTGAGCTTTCATCCTTCCTGTGCACCAAAAGAGGTCTTGATTTTCCAGTAGTGCTGGATGCGACAGCCAACCCCTCTGGGACTGTGTCCTGCTTACACAATGTAAGTTAGTCACTACACCTATCACCCATGAGGCAAACCCCTCTCCCCATGGCAAGGTTTGCCTCCATACAGACCCCAGAAGAATGAATCCCTGTTCTGTTCCATCCCCACAACTTCTTTTGATGGAAAGAGGAAAGGGTGCTGCCTGGTACAGGAATTACAGCCTGTTCTACTCTTTGCAGGAGAGTTTATTTAAAGAGCTACCTCTGTCCTCTGCAGCGTGCTTGTCTCTCTAAGATGACAGACAAGGCTAAAAATAACATGTGGAAGCAGCTTGGTGCAATTTCATGTGACCTGTCTCCCCAGCCCATGTATTGATGGCAACAAGATTTTTGTTGGGGGAGGGGGGAAAGGTTGAGAGAACAAAGATGTGTGTAGCCATTTCTGCTGAAAGCCAGAGAAAATTCGTGTTCCCCTTCCTCCTGCCAAGCTAGCTCCTCACGTGCTGGATTGGAGGAAGTGTAAGGGCCCTAGAAAGGAGCTGGCTTGAATGCTATGGCAGATTAAATATTTTTTTTTAAAAAAAAAAAAAAAAAACCAAAACTGTATCTTCCTTCAGCAGAGATTTTTAGATTCTTCAAGAGTTGGTGTCATGGCCTTTGTTAGAGCCATGCTATATGTTTTTGTGTCATTTCATTGTGAGGATTTGAGAAAGCCCAGATTCTTAAGTCTAATTAGCTCCTTGCTCTGAAGCTTGGATTTTAGATTTGCATTCAATAAAATTTGAAATTTTGTGCCAAATAACTCCAGCCCCCCAAGCTGAATTTGTCAGTGATAACTAGGTATTTAAATCCTGTGTAGCAACTCTGGCATTGCTACTTTGAGCAAACAAAGGGAATTTACTCATTACTACACAGGAAATACATCATGCTCCCAGAAGGGCCAGGGAACTGAACCCAGCAGAGATTTCCCTTCCTAAGCCAAAATGAAATGAAATCTGGCACTGAAATGAGCGCTTCCTGGGCTCATTTAAATGTGAGTGTGTGTATATAGACATATTTCTCAACTTTTATTCACATATGCACATGCTCTTCCTTTCCTCCTCCCTCTTTTTCACTCCTTAGAAAACCCTGACTGAGGAAGAGTAGTCAGCAGAAAGGAGAAGCTGTTTCCATCCTGTGGCATCAGTATTTCAGACCTGGGTCTCTCTTAAAGTGCCAGAGCTGTTGGTTTTCCACTTACAGGACAGTCCACTTACAGGACTGTGCCAGTGGGGACCTGGGGACAACTCAGCCTTGCCTGAGGGGCAGCTGGTGGTGACAGTGGTGTCCTCATGCTTCTCATCAAGGCTGGACGGGCTCAACCTGCTGTGTCTCAGGACATCCTCTGGTGCCCTCCTGGTTGCAGACCTCTCAAACATGGGAGCAGAGGCTGGCAGCAGCATCTGCCTACAGGAGAACAGGATTTCATGAGGGACTGAGCTTAGCTTTGCTTCTCCACACTACCAAATTTCCTTCAAGTAACTCTTTTCTCCCTCTTGGTGGAGGAACCTGCAGCATAAGGCTGCAGTGTCCTCTTTTTGTGCCTCACCCTTCAAGTCCCAGGCTGTGGATTCTCCCAGCAGTGAGATGCAGGGGAAGGTAGAGGCTGAAGGCACTGCTGCTGGTCCTGACTGCCCATCATCAGCTGGAAACAAATGTAAAATACATTGCACACGATACAAATAACCATTTTTATTGTGTTGACTCTTAAAGAACTATGATAGAATTTTTTTTTTTTTTCAAGTGAGTGCAGAGTAATGTGCTTTGAGAGATTCCATTTACTGTTGCTATAATACTGGGTTGAGTACTTAATGAAATCTCTGCAAGTTCATAATGGAAGCCTACTCTGGAGCTCTTCTGCATAGTCAATCAGTGAATTCAGTTGCTCGTTCAACCTGAACGGGTTCCTCAACCCATAATGACAATCTCCACGTGGCCCTGCCAAGTAGCAAGGTCTCTACATCCTTTCTAATATCCTGATGTGTGGCTTTTATTGTTTAAAGTGAAGGTGAACAGTTACAGAAGTTCCAGAGAATTAAGACCTAGAGGATGCTGGATGTTAAAGGGGTATCTGAGTAAGCAGGAAGGTTTATTTAGCTTCCTGCAGATTCCTCTGCCATGGCACTGGACAAAAGTGTTAAAAATGATACTGTTTGCGCTTAGCTGCCTTCCTCCTTAGCCAAGAGGGGTAAAACTGGTTAGAGTAGGAGCCTGGCACGTGGGGCACCAGGGTGTTGTCCTCTGCTCGTGGTCTGAGCAAGGTCCCGTGAAGCAGCTCGGTGCTTCCCGCAGTAACACAACTCCACGTGGAAGACTTGATTCCGAGTGGTGGTTGCCCAAGCCTCCCACAGAGGCTGGTGGGGGCACGGCCCCCGTAGCCCTTGCTGTGCCAGGGCCGTAGGTAACTGTGTAGTAACTTGTGTGTGGATGGAAGCGGGGATCGTGGTTTGCAACTGTTCGTTGGGAACGGAACCATGGGGAACAGTATCTTTTACTCTGCTGCTTCAGGGCACTTTTCATTTCAGCCGATTTACCTTTGCCTTTAATTTTCTTGGTGTCTTTCTTCCCTTCTCCTGGGTGTAACATTTCCACACGCAGATGTCTCCTCGCTCTGCCCGGCGACGTTGGTCCATACAAGCAATTAACGACTTCCCGGTACTGTGCGCTGTGCTCATGCTGTCCTTGATATACCCCTGTCTGCTGCCCAGGGGCCCAAGAATAAAATGCCACCTGCCTGCCTTTGAGTAACCTGCACAGAGGTGGGGGACTCACTCTCCACACAGGGCCGATGCACGTGTAGATGGACAGGAGCAGACGGTAGTTTGCAGGCTCCAAATACTGGCCTACACCTCATTGATCTGGTGGAGCCAGCAGGAAAGGATGCCGAGGGGGTAGTTTGAAGTGTAAGGAAAGATCAAGCTCTAAGAAACCACGAGTGCCCTGCAGAGGAGCTGAATTATTATTATGCATCATCCACCAACTGATGAGGCTGATGTTAGAGCACCTTTTTCTGAAAAAAGAAGATGAAGAAGATGAAAACTCGCTGGAGAGGAACACTTTCAGAGCTGTGGAAGAAACAAACTGGTTGAGCTGCTGAAAATGATCTGTCACCTTATTCAAATGAGCTGCCTATTCTCAGTGCAGCACACCATAATCTTATTTCCTGAAGCAATAAGTATAATTTCTCCTTAATTTGTGATCTTCTCCCAGCCCTTGGAATCACCCCACCCTGCAGTCAGAGGAGCTGCACTTCCAGCCACCCTGGGAGATAATCCCTCCTCCTGGCACCTGCCCTTCCAAGCCTGCTTTGACAGTTGGTTTCCATTAGTCAGGTCTATGTGTCCCTCAAGCTCGAGCATCATTCATGTGAATATCTTGATGATATCAGAGTTGCTCAAGATGTGCTGAAAATCTGGGCAGTTACTGTCTCATTACTCATCTGCCAAGCCCGGGCAAAGCTTAGAAAACTCCGTTTCAATTTGGAGATGATCTCTTTAGGTCCAATTTTCTTTAACGTCTGTGTGAACAGCTGATTTTTCTCAGCTGCTTTCCTTCATGAGATCTCTTTAGAAGACAGCAGGGAATAAAAGAGAATCCTCTGACACCAAATTTAACTTGGTGTAATAGGATCAAGCCTTCCTAATTACCACAGCTCTAGGACTATACTAACAAATAATAGGTGAAAGAAACCAGAAGTAGTTTACTTGACTCCATCAAGGCTTTTTGCAAAGAGCTAATAAAGAAATGTGAACAACAGAGGCAAGAAATTAAGTTCTGTCTTGGATGAGGAACAGATGGAAAGAAAGAAAAACAAGTGAGGAACTTGCCAGCTTGTGATGTGGCAAGTTGTGGTGCACGGAGGGCCACTGTTTTGTTCCCTCGCGACTGGCTTGGAAGGAAGAGCAAGTACCGATGTGAAAAAGTTATGGTTTTGTGTAACTTAGACTTGAACATGATACATGGAGTACCCCAAGCCTTGAAGGATCGCTTGTATGTGTGGAGAACATTTGGAAGAGGCTGATCCTGCTCTCTGAAGTGGGCAGTAGTGCTCAGCATGAAGACGCGTGGAGAGGTGCGGATTGTTTGTGCAGTCTGAGTCCTTTCCTTTCTAGAAGAAGAGCTCAGCATTGCTCCGGCTGCTCAGGGAAGCAAAGGCCTTGTAAGTCTGGAGGAAGGAATAATTCCTCCTCCTTTCTAGGTAACGACTGGCCTCCACTTCAGAAATGCCTGTGGTTCAGAGCAGGTGCCAGCTGGTAATGGATGGAAGCTATAAAGAAATACTCCTGCTGTGGGGCACTTGATTCTAAAGCACCTCAGATTTTATAAGCCCCTATGTGGAAAGTGCCTGGTACTGGGGGAGATGCCGGAAAAAGTAAAATGTTGATAATTCAGTGCTGCATGGACCTGCATGGGGAAGTTGATCTGTAGGCAGTTGTTCAGAATAAAGGAGTGTAGCTTTCTGCAGGGAGTCAGCAATTTAAAAAGTTTATTTTAAAAATATTAGAAGCAGCTCAGACCTGACTTTGAGCAGGTTTAGCTCTTGATTTTGTAAATTCCTCGTTGCAGTTTGACACCTTCGACATCAAGCCTGTTCCCTCCTGTCCACAACCTTTCCCTTTGCTCTACTAACACCAGTTTATACACGACCCCCGAAATTTTGGATAGGTTCATGCAAAACCAGCACTTCACACGTCACGGTGCTCCTCCCAGCACTGCCTGCCTCAGCAGGATCCAAAGACAACTGGATCCTGCTGATCAGCAACTGTTCAGCGTCCTTTCCAAGCAGGCCCGCAGCATTTTCGAAGGACTTCTGCTGAGTATGCAGCGATGGTGGTGGTTGCTACGAAGCAGTTGGTGGCTTATTCTTGGGCTATCTGTTTCTACATGTAACCCATTTACTGCCATCGTTATCACCTCAGATTGCAGCAAATTACAGCCTTGGGTATGGTAGTGCAGGTGCAAGCTGGCTTTTTTTAGTCCTTATTCAGTGCTCTTCCCTGCTGTCACCTCCAACCCCATGATTGTCATAAATGCTCTGGTTTCTTTCCTTCTGCTGCTCTGAGGAACTGATGAGTCTTAATTTATTATCGCTGTCTCTATTTTCTTTTCCTCCTCTCCTTAAACTCTCAGGAGCAGCTGGGTAGATGCAGTTCCCCTTGGCATGGATTCTAGGCTGCAGAATGAACTAGAAATGTGTGGGCCAGTGGCAGAAGACCTGTGTCTTTGACCTTGAGCTGTCAATAGTTACCTTGGTGCACGCATGTTGATTCCTGCTTCAGCTCCAACAGTTATGTTCCCTGCTGCCCCTTGTGCCCTGTGCTCCAGCCTTTAGGAAGAGATCTATTTTCTGCTCTACCCCAATGCCTGTGAGCCTCTTTTCAGTAACACTGTAGTGTGAGCTTCTCCTGGGAGAAGAGGTGAAGCAGAATGGAGAGAGGAACCTTGTGGTGAACCTTGGCCAGACAGTTGCAAGCTAGAGCTCTCCTTGCCTCTGGTAATCCCTGTGCTCCAATTCTGTCTGGTGGAGAGCTACTCCTGTCATTAACATCAGCAATTATTTGGCTCAAAGTAGCACTTCTGCAGTCAGTGGTGATGAGCTTTACCTCATCCATGATGGTTCCCATACTTCTGATTGTAGTTTTTTTTTTTTGCTAGTGCTTTGTTTCTGTAGCTGAGGCAAACCTAAATTGCAAACCCCTAGACATTTTTAGCGATGTTTCTACATGTGGCTTTGTGATTTTTCTTCTGTTGCAGCTTGAGGGGCAGAAGTAGTGGTTGTGGCAGTGTAGTACTGTCAGGGCACGTGGCCATCAACTGACTCTGCTCCTGGAGCTGCACCAGTTGAGAATCCCCTTTTCCCAGTAGGCAGCGCTAATACAAAAACAGGACAATTTTGTTGTGAGTCCCAATTTTTCAGGGGTTTCTGAGACATTAAGTGTCTTCATCTGTCTGGTGCTACGCTCACAGCAAGCAGTGGAAACCATTCATGAGATCTCTTTTCCATTCTCATCCTCATTTGTTGTCATTCTCAAAAAAAAAAAAGGTGACTGAATTACCTGTGGAAAATGGTGTTGTCTGTGTTTGTAGTCTTTGCAATGCCTGTTGGGAGGCTTCTTCAGGCTGCTCTTGCAGAGAGCAGGAACAGGTTGAGTCTGTTCCTGATGACAGGACAGAGAACCTGCCTCTCCATTGGCTGCGAGTCCTGGGGGCAGCTGGCTTGCAGATGGGCAGGAGGTGGCAAGTCGCTCTCCAGATAACCTGCCAAGCTCTAGAAGCCCTTGGTGATAGACCTGCAGAACTGAGAGGTTCTGCATCTGCAAGCCTGGGTTCAAACACTTGCTCAGACACTGCACAAATAACTGCTTTTGTTGTGTGAAGTCTGGTAGTCCTTCCAGAACCATGCCTGAGCTCTTGCCCTGATGGCCTGTCATCGTGCTGGGGCTCCCAAGCTCTGCTCAAGGATGGGTTTTGGCAGCATCATCAGCTCCTTGCTGCCCCTAGGAGACAGCATTTGGCTGCCCTGGCAAGGAGTGAGGTACAGGTGCCTCTCTTGGTTGGGAACCTTGTTGTAATACAGCCCATGTCCTTCAGCAAGGGCAGGGGAGCTGTGTTTTAAGGTGTAACCAAAAGAGGGTTAGGCTGCCCAACAGCAACAGAGCCAGAGGGTGCTGAAGAGAGTTTGGTCTCCCACCTGATCTGGTTCTAGCCACCTTCCTCTGCACAGCGCTTCTCAGCTTCAGAGCCATGTGGCAGATAAACCAGTCCATGATTCTATGACTTAGGTAGGAAGGGACCTTTCTAAAGGCCACCTAGTCCAACCCCCCTGCAGGGAGCAGGGACATCCCCAACTAGAGCAGGTTGCTCAGAGCCCCGGCCAACCTCACCTGGAATGGTTCCAGGGATGGGGCATCCACCACCTCTCTGGGCAGCCTGGGCCAGGGGCTCACCACCCTCAGTCTCAAACATTTCTTCCTTCTCTCTAGTCTAAATCTTCCTCTTTCAGTTTCAAACCACCACCCCTTGTCCTGTCCTAACAGTCCCTGCTCAAAAGCCTGTCCCTGCAGCATTGGGTGCTCAGCATGACAGGACGTCCTCAGCACATGGGCCTGAGCTTGGGTCAGGCAGCAAGTGAAGGAGGGTTTAAGTTCTTGAGGTTATAAGTTGTTGGGGTTTTTTTTCCCCAAGGGCATTTTGTGTCTGTGATAAGCCTGCACAGGTTTGCATGATCATGGTCAAAAGCAGTTTGGCACCCAGACAGCCCAGAGCTGGCCTGCCACCCAGAGCAGAGGTGACCCTGCTCGCAGCTCCGAGTCCTGCTTGGCCTCTAGCCCAGCCTGCTCTTTAGGAGCCCAAATGTGTGACCCCTGTGAGCTCTGGTGCCCTGCGGAGCCCCTAGGCCAGGGATGCTCTGCTGGCCCTTTGGGTTGGGGTGCAGGGAGCCCCACCACAAGCGCCTCAGGAGACTCTCCATAACTCAGCGTGACCAGGAGACGCTTCTGTGTAGGACTTGGTGTCAGGGAGGGAACACACCACGAGGGAGCAGCATTGCAAAGCGTCCTGCCTAGCAGCCACTGCTTCCCTGGGTGGAGCTCCAGTGCCTTCTGCCTGTCGTGCTGCCACACAGCCTCTCTTCTTCCTCCTCCTCACCCTCCCAGAGCAAGGAGCTGGGAGAGGCCAGGATACCAGCCAAATACTCTACAGTGTTCTTACCACCAAGGTAGCTTTCTGCAGCTTGGCGTTAAGGTGGCCTCTGTGTCTATAGCCGGGAGTATTTGGGAATCATCTTGGCTTCTTATTGTTGTTCCCTTGTGTTGGTTGCTCTGTCCTTCCTCCCCCACCCCATGTCCTGAGCCAGCTGTATGTAGCTGTGAGCATGGTAGCTAAGGATCCTTGCTAGGGAAACTTAGGCCCTGCTTTATCCTCTGCCAACTGTTTGTTTGAAGCAGTTGATGAAGCAGGAGGTGGGAGCCCTGGCCTGGTACTAAACAGGGTTGTCCTCAAACACCAAAAGAAGAGACCAAAAGAGACCATCTGGAGCTGTCAGCTTGTCCCAGCAGAAGCTGCCTCCTGCATGTCTCCGTGCTGATGTTGGCTGAGGCCAGCGATGGTCTGTGTACAGAGGGTTCCCAGACCAGACCCCTAATGAGAATGAGAATTGAACTGTCCTCCTGCCAAACCTGCCCAGGTTTGACTGGCGTCCCGACGCCCCTTTTTTCTCTTATTGGCTTTCCCAGAGGAACTCAAAAGACATTTTGAGTGAGTTTGACCTCGAGGTCGCTGCCTTGACCCGCTTTTCACTTCCTACAGATGGAGATGCTTGTTCTCCTGGGCATGTTGTGGATGTTTTCCAGGGTAACACAGAGCCTTCTGAAAGGCAGGTTTGGGTGCTGCTTGCATTATTCCTGACCCTAGTGCTTTGCTCCCTGGCCCAGGCAGCCTGCTGTCCTCCTCCCCATAACACGGTGCTATTTGTTCTGCAGAAATCAAGGAGGTGGAAAAGCAAACGAGAAGGGACAGATGCCAACAACCGACCCATCAAAGCCGCCGGGAAGGTTATTATCCAAGATATTTCCTGCTTGCTGCCTGTCCACAAGCTGCTGGGAGAGCTCTACATGTGAGTACAGGTTGGCACCTTTTCCCAAATGAAAGCTTTGGCATTGCTCCATGCTTTAATCCAGAGATCTTGGCCTGTTTCCTTACCTAGTTCCTCTGTTCTGGTCTTGCTGCTTTTTTACAGTATCCCTTCCTGCCTGTGAGGGGGGACTTGGCTCTTATAAACCTGAAAAGCATCATAGAAGAAATTTGGGATGGGAAATTGTACACAAATTTGAACTGCTGCTCCAGGTTCAGGTTTTTGTCAACTGAAGAGAGAAATTAGCAGCAGAGGTTCTTTTTCAAATCTCATGGTAAATCCCACATGTAAATGTACAGGCTTAAAAATAACACACATTCTCATACTGTAAAGCTCAAGTTCCTAAGGCTTTTTTAATTTCCAAAGTGTTTGGAGTGCCCCACTTACTTGGAGACTTCGTTGTACGTGGCAGTGTCTGGAAGTTCTTTAGCTTTATTGAAAGTTCTTCAGCTTTAATTGAAAGGTTGGAGAAGTTCTGGCTGGTTGGTTTGTCCTTTTGGTTTTTTTTAAATAAGGAGTTTCTTTTTCCAAACTGTCCAACTCAGTTATAAAATCTCTGCTCCTGAATTTTTGCTTCCTTAGCATTGGTAATATTGTCTGGTCCCTCAGAGTTTCCAGTCTATGGACATTGAAGGAAGCAGGAGGCCTCCCTTCTGAAAGGAGGGAGAGGAAAACAGAAGAAATCTTCCCTCCCTCTTTTCTATGTTTTTGACTAGAATGTTCTCTAAAATGGTCTTTTGGACCTTTCTTCTCTGAATCGCTCATGACCTTGAGCAGTAAAAGCATCAAGTGTCTCAGGAAGATTACTGACTTCAAGCAGGAAAGCCCACATGGGTTTCCTCAGCCACATTCCCAGCCTCTTGGAGACTGGGTGTGTTATGCTACTGGGGAGGAGGCTGAGGACCAGCCTGCTTCTCCTCAGTGTGCCACCATATCCCTCCAGGTCAGTCAGAGCAGACCAACAGGCTGCATGGGAGCAGGACCATGTAACTGGTGGCACCAGCTTCTAGGGACAAGAGTGCGTCTTGGCTTGGTGATATCCTGGTGGAAGTTTAATCATGCATCTCCTTGGAAGTGGTGTTTTTGGGATCAATTCCAGGTGGTTTGGAGCTGGAGTTACGTGCAGTGTGTTAGTGAAGATGAATAGTGGGAGGAGGATGGAAGTGGTCCCTGAACCAGAGAAGGAAGGGATTGGATCCTGGCTGTGCTGGCAGGCTCAGGTTGATCAGAAAGTTCTGGGCTGTTCCCTCCTGCCAGTACCACTTTCTCCTCATCCCTTCCCACCTTCACAGGCAACATGCTGAGCAGAGCTGAGCTATCTCTTTTCTTTTCAGACTGAATGTGAATAACATCCAGGAGACATGCCAGAAGAATGCTGCCTCAGCCTTGGCCGTGGGCCGGAGGGATCTCGTACAGGTACGACGTTGGAGCAGACCTCTTCATGCTGTACTACCCTCCCACGACTTCTGTAGTCCCTCTGATACCCAGACAGCCACCCAGGTCCAGCTGCTGTCCTGGGGAGTCTCCAGTTGGTGAACTGGGGCCTGTGGAACAGCCACGGAGGTGTTCTCGACCTCACCGATTCTCAAGCAGATAGTGCTGTGGCCTTTGCCAAACTGAGTGAATCAGGTTTCTCAGGGAATTCCTGGGGCAGAGCAAGGAATGCAGCCTGCTTTGGAGTCAGCAAATGGAGTAAGTGTGCAGAGTTGCCTAGCTGCTGTCAGCTTTTGATGGGTGATCTTCCCTTCGTCATGCCATCGTTCCTGTTGCTCGGTGTTGGTCCGCGCTGGCACCGGGTGCTAACTGCAGCTCTTGGGGCCCATCCTTTTCCTTGTGGTTAGGCCATGGCAACAGGTAGGATGTTTGACAGGACACGGGGAGTGGGTGGCACTGCCAGAGGAGCTGTACACCTCTCCTGAGCACTTGGCTCTTCGTAGACCTGGGCAGGGAATGTGCACAGGCTTAGAATCATAGAATCCTTTAGG